AATAACGTGTTCGATTATAACTGCAGCGCAATTAACTATATAAGTGCTATATAGGTTTTTTTTCTCGCGGTGCATCGATCGATGCAACTCGCTTCGCCTCCGGCCCGCAGCTATCTATCTACCGTGCCAGCTGCAACCGGCTGTTGCACCATATTACGACACCGCCGAAAAATCAACATACACCGGCTCATGCGTCTGTCGTGGACCGACACCGACTTATCGTGCAATCGATGTTTCCGCGGCTCGAGTGGCGCCGTTACGCAATCATGCGGTGGCCGTGAGATTGCAAGATGATCTAGATTGTGCGACACACGAAGATTGCTTCCTGACAAGTTCTCTTTCGCGATGTCACGTGGAAGTATTTGCGATAATTATCTGTTACGATAAGAGCGTGTCGCATGTCTCTTTAGCGCGCGCATGCTCCAAACCCTTGATGAAAACCAAGGCGAAAAAGAGATAGATAGATAGATAGAGAGAGAGAGAGAGAAAGATAGATGGAAGAGTTTATGCGCTTGGCAAGAAGCGTACTCGTGCAGCAGTTGGCGAACATCGACAGCGAGTGTCGGCGAACCTGCAAATGCGACAGCACAAATACCCTCCTCCGCGCGTAGTAGAACGTAGCCGCGGCGCGCGGCAAGGAGTGGCGCGTGGCTCTGTGAATGAAGCCTGTGTGCTCCGCTTCCTCCCCGCCGCGCATCTCTAGAGTAATATCCCCTTACCGCGCGTCCTCCTCCCTCTCTTTGCTCCTCCCCACTCTCTCCGATGCATTTGTTTTCCTTGTCCCTCGCTCAGTCGAAACCGGTTCGCCGCGTTCGGCACGCATTACGCATATTCCCGCTGCCGACGCGACGCGACGCGACGCGCTGTGATGCACACGCGTTACTACCTTTATAGGTAGGACGTACGTAAGTAGTAATAGTGCGCGCATTGAAAGCGCTCGTATCTCCGTGTGTTTTGACGGTTGTGCCCGGCGCAATTAAAGCGACGACCGTGCAAAAAGACTTGCGCGTTTGCTCGCGCAACTCAATTAAAAGTGTGTACATGTGAAAACACACACGCATAGGTGTTAGATCGATCAGAACGTCATATTGTCGTCCCGGCGAGTTTCTAACGCGCGCGAGGATTTTTATAATAGGAAAAAAAACAGATGCGAACTGTACGACTGGCGAATGAAAAGAAATGACGTTTGCCCGCGTTAGCCTCGTTTTTGTTTTATCGCTCAGAAATAACATGTATTAACGCCGGGTTAAACTATGACGCTTTTTTATTTCTCACGTGAGAAAAAAAAATCTGTCGAGTCAGCACGCGCAAATTAAATTTAGCTTCTTGCACAAGAATGAATCTTGTTACAAATAACTGTTCTTTGGTTTTTTGTTTTTGTTAGAGCACAATTAATCTCTTTCGAAATGACATTTTTCTTCGCAAAATAATTGCCACTTATCCACTTATCCACTTTTATTAGTCGCTATTAAACTAGCTTTTTGCCGGCACGCGTGTCGCATATCGTTCGAGAGATAAAACACCACGGTTGAAAAATAGTAGAAACGCCGGCGGTGTAGCGCATTGATGACATTCAGAGTAAAATTGTGCGGTGTGCACACACACACACGTTTCCTTCTACCTTACGCGCGCGCACGCGTGTGTGTGTCACTAAGTGATAAACTCGTTTCGGTGGTATTTGAAACCGTAACTTGACATTTTCCCGAGCTCGCGGCGATAGTGGGTGCTAAATGACGAGTGCGCGCTGGCGTAACGCGCGCGCATTCCTTACGAGCGCGCGTATATTCGCCCATGCCTCGCAAATAAAAGCGTGAATAAGACAGCGCAGCGTGGGGGCGGCGCACACCTATGTGTGTGCGCGCTTCGCGTGACTGTTTTCCGCGTGACTGTTTTCCGCGTGACTGGACATGCTTTATATATTAGACACAAAACCTTTCGAACACACGTCGCGAGCAACATTGTAATTTCGCAAAGTGTTTCGCGACAAAAATTGTATACCGTAGCGCACTATATACTACGGAAAATAGGAATTACTATATTGCTCGAGCAAGACGAACGAGCGGATTAGCGCCAATGTGTCGCGTATTGCAGCAAATAAATCTCACGTACGTTTGGAACGAAAATATATGTGTTCGTCAGAAAAGAAGAGGAAGACGGTAAATGAAATTGACGTTAATCGGCGTACACACGCGTACCTCTTTTGTATCGAGTCGCGATCACACGGAGGAGGGCGTACAAATCAAATCTGCGTGTCCCGCGTGCCACAGCGTACACGTCTCATTACGGGTGACAGCATGACCCCCTTCGTGCGCAATAAATCAATTACCGTTTTATTAGTAAGAGAAATCTACACTTAATCAAATCATGTTACTTAACCCGGGAGTCACGGTGAGGCGCGAGAAGAACACGGGTGCGTATACACTCCACGTATGTACGTACGCGCCGCGGGAGCGGCGGGGCGACGCGACGGTTCGTCCAAATTTTTTTGTTTTGAGAACCACTTAAAACAACGCTCCGTGAGACCGCGCACGGCGAACCTTTCTCTCGGATATGAACACGCGGATGAACTTGTAATTATTTATATACAACCTCCCGACACATTAATTTATTAACGCTGAGGGATCCGTGTTGCTCGTGCATCGCGGAGCCAACGTCTCGTCATGATGATATAATATAATTACACAGTAAGATGTACACAGATAAACGCGCGGATGTTTTATTAATTCGAAACGGACACGGGAGAGATAGAGAGACAGACAGAGACAGAGTGAAAGATATGAGATACATACCTCTATCGCAAATAAAAGAGTACGAGGAGAGGAATTTTAACTCGTCTTATCTAATCGAAACTTTTTTCTTTTACATTGCGAGATTTTTAGAATTTATTTTTGTAATTGTGGGATTTATTTGCGCGTAAGAAAGGGACGCGCAAACCTCATTGCGTGTTTCGTTTATGATACGGGAGTGGTACGCGTTTTCTGTTTTTATTCCCTTTCTCTTCCATCGTCTTATCTCCACTATCGTTCGTACCGTTGTATGGTTGCATGTACGTTTTCGCATAATGAAAAAAAAACACATCGTGTCGGGGCTTGTGTATGGGACGTCGGCATGGCAAACGATGCCTCCGGCCGACTGATTGGCCGCGAGGCTCTTAGCGGGTTTGCTTTTCTGTGAAGGGTTTCACCGGCGCAACACACACGGGGAACGTACCGTTCCCGCGGCGGAACACATCCGGGCGTGTGTATACGGCAAAAGCCGACTGCGCGCAAGGCAGAAACAGTTTTGCGCACCGTGTTGCGACGGTACCAACGGTGTTGCTATGGGGCGGCGCGTCGTTGATTCCCAGACCAGAATCCGGCTTATTCGATAATTCGCAAATCACGTGCTTTATCGCGCGAACGCGTCGAGCATCATCGCGTATTCTCTGTGTGTGCATCGCCCCGTTTTACACGCGTAATTTTCTCAAGATATTGTCTCGGGGAGCATCGCGGAGCAGCAATGCGCGAGCTAGCAATTCTTTCGCGCCGCGCTGATAAAAAAGTTATAAAAATGTAGAGCAGAAGAAAGCGTCTGTGCTCGCGCGATCGTAAATATGCGCATACGGGGATGAGTGCATGCGCGCACACAAAATACGCGCGCGGCGTTTCGAAAAAAAAAAAAAAGAAAAAAAACCCAGCGTGCAACACAGAGAGACCGTCTTTTAAATGTAATTGACGTCGCGAGATAGAGATGCGCTGAACGAGAAACATATGGAGTGCAATTTATCGGTGAAAAAAGAAAAAAAAAGAGAAAAAAACGATAACGCACGAGAGATCCGTATAACGTAGGAAGTCCCGAGTAAACAAACTTGATTAAATCCCGCAAAAGCCGCGAGCTAAATATTTGTATGTTCGCTATTTGCCCGCGTGAACGTTTTCTTCGATGATTGGGTAAACCGACGTGCGAGTTGTTCAACGGTATTTATTTAGTCGTCGCGTTTAAATTTGATTTTCGTCGAGAATATTACTTCGCCGCGTCGTTCACTTCGCGATGCGCATTACTACGCCCGCGTAATTTGTTCCGCGTAACATCCATGAAGCGCCCACGATAATTTAAAACAAACATTTTTGCGAGATCTAATCTGCGTTTCAAAGCGGAGATGCTGCGCTCTCCTATAGCGCTCGGAAATAATAAACGATGCATTTTTGCCTTTTATCTATCTGCAGTTTTATCTTTTATTTATCCGCATCAGACTAAGAAGAGCATTTTCTTCTGCTCGGCTTCTCTTACCATTGAAATATTAGTCGTGTAACATTGTGTTATCGCGTATTATTCATGACAGTCGCGATTGAAGTGCGAGTCGATAAGAATGAGAGAGAAAGAAAGAAAGAGAGAGAAAGAGGCGGAGAGCATTGAATGCTTTCAAAATGTCGTCGCGTTATTATTTCCCGGCAGATTCGTGTCCGGCGGCATGTAAAAAATTTGCAATTAGCCACAGCTACCGTTCTTTTACTTGCAGCAAATTTATAACAGCGTTCTCCCGCGTGTGCGCATCGTTCGTTAAAGCGAGAGCACACGCGATTACGTTAATTTATATCTTTTTTTTTTTTTTTTTTTTTGCGAAGCGTTCTATTTTTGCATAACGACGATAATGAACACGCGACACCGCGCCTTGGCGTGATCATTATGTATTATTATAAATAACACCGACGACGCTACGATATCACCGTATTTTATTGATGATCGCGTAAGCGTGACTTACGAAAGTATATAATTTCCACGTTCTCAAAGTGTGTGTTCGCCGGCCGCGTGCATCTTTTCGCGTGCGATCACGCGTTATCATTAACGAGTATGGAAATTAATGCGAGGCGATTAATTTCTCTCGGTTAATTGCAAATATATTCATGTAAATTCGTAAACGTGTATCTAAACGCTTGATTGAGAAAAAAAAAAACAACACTCGCGTGATGCAATTCCACGATGTGATTAATTTATAATTTGTGCTGTTTCTCTCGTTGCAGGTTAACAGATTGTCTAACCGTCATCGGAGAGAAAGAATCAATGTCAAGAGACGTTCGAAGTGATTGATAATAAAATTGATCTCGTAAATTTCTCAATGGAATCGACTGGTGCGGTGACCTGTCGACGGTGCCGATCTTCGGCCACGGTCGACTGATAACTCGCGCGCGCGGACGGGTAATCGTTTGTCTCGCGACACGCCCACGAAGTCTCTCGCGGTCCGCGCGCAATTACAAGAAGCCACTGACAAACCACGCATCGGACAACGAGGAAAGATGCGCAAAGAAGTCTTCGAGTGGTGGTTATCGTTGTCGCCGCATTGACGATCGGACCCTCCGTTTGTTCGCACATATAGAAAGAGAAAACGACTAACGGGAGAGCCAGAGAGAGGCTGCTTCGCGCGCGATAATATCGTCGGGAGGCGAGAAGAAATGCGAGCGAGGCGCGACGCTGCTTGTCTGCTTTTGCTCTGAATTTGCGAGGAGCGCGAGTACACACATATATCTTTTGTCGGGAGAGGAACTTCCGAAAAGACGACGGCGTGAAGATGAAGTCTTCGGCCGTGTGTTACACATTTTGCGGCGCGACGTTCGACGAAGAACATAAGATGAGCACCGTTGCGTCTCCTTCTGCATCGGAAGCTTCTACCACTTGCCACTGCCATTTCTCCTCGCCGATCCGCGACGGATTTGATGACGAACACGGCGTGTTTTCGTTACCGACGTCGAGGTCAACGACGGCGCCGTGCGACCTTTGCGAGCGTCTTCGTGGTCGAACGGGCGGACGTTTTGACTTGGTGAACTCGACCAGGACAGAGGACGGTCTCACGACAAACGGTTTCCGGTCGTTGAGGCGAAAACACGAGAACTTTATGTCAGCGAGTGACGCGATCGTCGAGAAACGCGACAGAACTTCGAGGTGCGAACGAGTTCCACTCTACGAATCGTCTGCGAGATGCGCTTCGAGCGTCGTGCGGTGGAATTTCGCGATCAGATTCTGGGACAGATGGACGATCACGGAGTTGGAACGAAAGTTCCTCTGGATCGTGTTCCTGATACTCGTGATAAGTTCCGACTTGGCATCGGCGCAAGATCGCAGATCTTACAATACCATCGGTTCCAACGCGACAACCAGAGGTGAGTTATACGCATTTTTCATCGTTTCTATAATCTCGAAATTCCTGCGATTATTAATATACGTTTCACATATTGTTAATATTAATTTGCGTACATTTTGTTCTCAGAAACTTGATAAACCGTTTGAGTATCTACATTGTCGTTATATATCGCACAGCAAAAAAACGCGTCAGCGCAAGAAATATATATATTTATTTGACACTTCAGCCTATATGGCCAAGAAGGGGACTTGGTTACAAAAAGTCTAATCACACACATCCTTCCATACGATCCATACCTTATATAACACTATATAACACTTATTTCACGCTTATTTACATTTGCTTTACAAATCCTTTACATTATCTTCACTCCCATTACATTTACATTAAATTAGACTAAATTAAATTACATTACCTTACATTGCGTTAAATAAATTAACTTAAATATCCTAAATCACTTTTCTGTCTTTTTTACATTTTACCTTGCCTTTTTACATTTACATTTATACATTTTTGCCTTCTTTTTCTCTTTTTCTTCTACTTTTTCCTATTTCTGTTTCCTCTTTCTCTAATTTTTATATTTTACTCTATCTTAATTCTATTTTCTTTTTT